ACAAGAAACTTTCCGACACTAACCTCCTCAATTACACCTTTCAAGCGACTTCGTCAGGACAAACAAATCAAGACTTAACTAACAAACTCACCGAATGGAACAGAACTCAAATAAAAGCAATGTAAAATACTTTAAGATGGTAAGCAGCTTTCCTTGACCTCGTGACATCAGCTGACTTATCTTGTCTGTGCGTATTCCAAATTGCATGTTTCGATGTTTGACATCAAATTAAAGAAAAACGTTCATGTCCCAAGGTTTTCCCCGGGATAATCTAAAGTGATGCAGATGGTTTGGACTTTCTGCAGAGTCGTGTATGAAGGTAACTCAGAACAAATCCTTCCGAGTTCTTACCTTAATATAATCTCTTCCTGATCTCAAGAAATAAGGATGCAAATTGGTCTATCCATTGCGGAGCTATAAGCGAACAAACATATGAACCCACATTTAAACTTTGCATTTAAGGTTAGGTTAGGTTAGGTTAGTTTAGTTTAGGTTAGGTTAGTTTAGGTTAGGTTAGGTTAGGCGAGCTTCCACATAAGGTTAGTTTAGGTTAGGTTAGTTTAGGCGAGCTTCCACATCTAAAGGGTTAAAGGTGTACAAATTACTACAGACTTACAAATTATTCGAGATTTTACCCTGCAAAACCTAGAATGTGGCACAAGTTTTACATAGGAAACACAAATTTTAGGGCAGTATTTTGAAGTCAATAGTATTGTGGCACTGACACGTTAATCAGCAGATAAAAGAATCGCGATTCTCTTCAGACACTTCAAAGAGAAGAAAATAACTGAGCTTGTAGTAACTCGTTACGAAATAACAAGTAATTTCGCGGTCCAGGTTACATGCGGTTTCGAGCAGGATGTTGCCCGCGGGCCGCCGATTGCAACACGAAGCTTCTGAAGCAATTCACGGAGGCTGCGTCTTCATTACGGCATTCACGATCAGTCACTGTTAACTTACGTAACTAATTATTATTCGTTACAGGGATTTATAAGGACAGACGAAGGAGGAATGAAATAAACCAAAATTTCCCATTTTCTCGACTTTTTGCCATAGAAGATACGTAAAATGCAACTGAGTTTTAAAAAGGTTGGCTTCTGGTGGTGTTGCGCCATGCAGCCTGTTATAAATTAGCCGACGTTTCGGAGGTGTATACCGCCTCCATCATCAGGGTTCTGATAAGTCAATCCTCATGCTCGTCGTGAGAACCTGACACCTCGCCTACACTCCGGTTCTACGCCACAGCTAAATGCTTATGGTTGATATAAATGGTTCTTGCACCGTGGTGCAAGTCTTTTTGTTTCGGTTGTAGACAGAAGAAATTGGCCTGAGTTTCGCTGGTACCTGTTTGTATATAAATCCGTGAAGACACTAATTACTATTTAAAGCAACTTCTTCGACATATACCACCTGCTTTAACAACAATTCTGTACAGCCTGATCCTCAATGTAACCGACAATTGCTTCCTTAAACAACATCTAATTTTCTCCGCACCAAACACAGGACATTCTCACGAAATATCAATTTCATTTTAACCTTTCACTTTTAGCTCAGAAATAAGTAACTGGCATTGTAATTGCATCTCTAACTCAGAGAAACATAACCTGTCCAGCAAATTCAACGGTGTAAAAGTGCGTTAAAAATGAACAAGGAACATCTGAAGATGGACTAATCAGCCCGAAACATGTAGCGATGTGTTACACACAAAACATGAAGTACTGGCGTGTTGTGTGCTGACGGCAATCTTTGTGATGGTGAAGTGTTGTGTTTTCTTCGCGGTACGAACTGAATTCTTACGTAATATTTAAACGAGCTTCGGCTTCAAAGGGTTAACCAGTTGATCTTTGTGATGGTGAAGTGTTGTGTTTTCTTCGCGGTACGGACTGAATTCATAAATAAATTGTAGATGAAGTTCAGTTCGCGGTACGTACTGAATTCATAAATATATTGTAGATGAAGTTCATGTTCAAGTGGTTAATCAACGTGGTCTGATGTTGTTCAGAATTGATACAAGCCAAGTAATCTGTATCGATTTATTTAATCGATATCGTATTAAACCATCGAAATTCACGTGATCTCGCGTAGAACTACAAAACGAGCTAAGTAAATACTCAACCTTCAAACGCGCCAGATTAAAGGTAGATCACGCTATAGAGGAACTGAGAAAAACCACGAAACACCTCAACCTGCATGTCCCATCTGTAACCAGGGCCAGTCTGAGTGTGATGCAGAGGAGGGGTTCCTAACTAAACGACCTCGACCGCTGGTCCATTTCCCCGACGTCTTCCCAACTCGAGTTTGCAGCCAAATATTCTGTTTGCTTTTCTTGTTTCCTGCAAGCTTTCAACACTGACAAAGTGACAATGGTGTACGTACATGCAAATCCTCTGCCGATATTTTATCAACCATTCGCCACATCTTCCAGTATTTCGCTGTAGACGATCAGGCGAGGAACGTCCGCCGACCTACACAGGGCGTCCAAAAAAACTTTACGCCACTTCCGTTCTTTGCATTCATCCTGATTCGCGGAATTAATCAGAGCCAGGTGAAAAGTCACGACTAATATTGATAACACAAACACCTACAATTAATATTTTCTCAGCAGAACTGCAGACAAATGAATAGTATGTTAATATTTGGATACTTGAGATTACAATCAACAAAATGACTTAGGAGTTCCTAAAATGTTTGACGTCTCGATCAGGTACATGAAAGTCCACTATGTTGAAAAAAAAAACTCTCACCGTAAGCCAGCTTGATCCATACCGTCTACAGTACAAATACTGACCTACAACTAACACCATACACCAATTTTTATCGGTTATGAAACAGCGAATGAGCGGGGGATCGCGCCGCGTTTCCAAAACCCACCGCAAGACAGCAGCAGTGTCTTCCACCAACTTTAAAAATACGAAATTTGGCGCGAGAATAACAGAAGATGGGACACGGCTTCTTGTGTTCTGTTATTCAGTCTCTCAAAACATTTTATCTCTTTGCTATGTTTACGCTGATAGGCATTAACCACATAAAGCATAGTGGTAACTATATGCACCACCTGCTTTAACAATCAATAATTCTTCATGTTTCCCACAGAGTTTACAAGTTGTTTGTTATTGTGAGTGCAAACAGCGATTACTTCCTTAAACAGCGTTAACAAATTGATCTTCGTAATGGTGAAGCGTTGTGTTTACTTTGCGGTACGGACTGAATTCTTAAATATTATTTAGACGAACGTCCGGCTTCAGAGGAATGTTTTCATTTTCGGATTATCAGCGACACCGTAAAAGGAAATGCAATTATAAACAGACCGAATAGAAAAAAATTAATTATGATATAAAAATCACGTGTCACAGGAAAACTGTGCGGACGTCTAGATGTGTGTGGGAGAAGGGCAACAGAGGCGAATGGATTCGTCCTTGGCGTTCGCCCTTCTTTTCCGACCCCTTGGTAGAGTGATTGGCACTCCTGCTTCGTATTCGGATGGTACTGGGTTCGAACTTCGATCATATTTCTGTGTCTTCTTTGCGGTGCGGACTGAATTCTTAAAGGCCTGTTGTTTGTAACTGTAACAACTACATGAATTTTCAAACTGTTAAAAAAATGCTATATATACGTCTGTCTGTCCTTCCTCAGGTCACACGATTACTTCCATATTAGGAGTAAAGAGCTCTAAATGAATTTTACGAAATTTCGTATTTCTCGGTATCAAATCGGAATTCTTCTAGTTTGAAGACAGTTGCGCACTGTTACATGTAATGCACTTTCAAAGACTGATGAAAATCGGCCTACATCAATGTAAATGCAAGGCCGAAAGAACTTTTTCAAAATTGTAATAAAAAATGTAGGCCTATATTTTAATCAGCCGCCTATACTGCTCTGTTCAGTCTATAAACATCTAGAAGATGGCAGCAAGGACCTCTGAAACGTCGGTAAACTACACGGCGCTCCAACCCAGAGGACAGCCATCTTCGTACTCACCGCCGTGAAAACCTCGAATCTACTCTCAACATCTAAATCACAGGGCCTGAAACCTGTACCTGATTCTTCTCTCAAAACCAAACGAACCAGTAAGGGGCTTTTGTGAACAAGGTAATGAACCTTCGGGCTCCGTACAACGAGGGAATTTCCTGACCAGCTGAGCGTACTGCTAGGTTCTCAAGACGGAATTCGCTCCGCAGAGTTATAATTAGTTAGCAGTCCTCAGAAAACGCACGGAGCGAAAGTTAAAAGCGCGAGGAACGGTTTACGACGTCAAACTTCCCCCGCGGTCATGAAGCATTTGTCCAGGGTAGTTTCAGCAAAGTCTGGAATATCTACGACAGAACTTAGACGGCACGGCGAGCGTTACTCGCTTGTTTCAGCACTGACGTTCCATCTTTTTTTATTTCCTCCCCTACGTGACGCGTCGCTGAGACACTGACCCATCATAACGCCACGTCGCCGAAACGTAGACCTGGACAGAAGGCTTGAATCAGTAAAATTAGTTAATGGCCAATGCTGACATACTTCGTTTTCTGTAGGTCCTGGGTTCAAATCTCGGCTATCCCGAGCTTTTTCGTTTGTCTACCCCAAAGCAAATGTCGGGATGGTATCTTACATCAGACCACCGCCGTTCTTTCCACATCCTTATTCAACGCCACAGACCAATCAACTTCGACCACTTTCAGCATCAAAATGCGTATCTGAGTAACAAGCTAAGCGGCCTACTAACTTTCAACGAACACGATATCGATATTCGACGTTCTCACGCGGCGGAGAAGTCGACGTTTGTCTTCTGGGTTGTAACACTTCGGTTGCTTCAATTCGCAAGAGAGCCGAATTCAGTGTCAACGCCTACAAACTTTTTATAAGACGTATCCTCATGTCAGTCTGCAAAACGCAAATTCCAGTCGCTAGTGGCAGATGAAATCCCACGATGACGTAGAAAGTTTGCCCTTGCTTCGTGTCTCGTATATTTTTAAGAGACTTTGTTCTCAAACACTACTAAAAGGTGTAAACTGGCGAAACCTTGCAGGGGGTGGGGGGTGACGTGACGAGGCGCCGATCGACACAGTCAGCGGCACGATCAGTCAGTCGTGGTTTGACGGCCTCACGATCCAGTCAACCGGCAGAGATTCCCCGCGCAGGTCAGTAAATCACCAATCACTGCTCACTTCACAGGCGCCTCTATTCATTCTGCACATGTCGTGTTTCTTGGTGTCACAAATCCTTGTCAACTTCCAAAATTATATTTAAAAAAGGTTCACGTATTTCTCGAAGTCAATGAAATATTTTTTGGGCCGTGGATTCATCCGCCAAGAAAAAAAGAATCCGAATGTTTGCCTCGTTTGTGTTTCAGCGGGGTACATAAATTACCCGGGAAATAAGAGTATTTAATTAAAACATTTACATCGGTCCACGTGTTCTGTGAAAATTGTGACCGATGATATTGATTCATACAGTGAAAAATAAATTATGGAAACCCCTTAATGGGGCCCAACTGCCTTCCAGTATTCAAATCCATATTAAGAGAAATTATACGACTTAGTGACAGGGCTACATATCTGAAGGTTCGTAATTTTCGTGACTCAGTTTATGTGTTAAATTTTGTTAGTTATAACCTTAAAAATTACGCATTTACGTCACGTTCCGAAATGCTTAAATTTAAACAATATTTCGTCTAGATTTTCTGGATGAGTTTAAAATCCTATTTTCAAAAGTATCAAGGCCTGTGGGCATGCTGTTTCGCGTCATACAAATACATAATATTAAAAAGTTGAACTTTTTCTTTAAGTCCATTATCACGCAAACGTAAATTTCGTACGGGCTGAAACAAGTGGATATTTTATTCACAAGTCGCTTTAACTTTGATCCGAAATTTCGAATGACAAGAGTTCTAGATTATTAAGTAGGTTCGTAAGTGAGCAGCCTAAGCAAAGTCTCTACTGGTTTGTGCCGATGAAGTTAATCGGACTGGAGCAGAATACACACATCGCAACACAAAAAATGATAAAAAAATTCTTACATTTTAGCATAAAAAAATATCTTCACGGTTACAAATTAACAAAACGAGAATCAGCAACAAAGTCATTACGACTTAACTACAGGCTTTCTGTAATGATGACTAAATTGAAAATATCGCGAAACTACCTGTGAGTTTGGGGGATAGGCTTGCTGAAATCCTTTCATGAGCGAACATCCTATTTCTATGGAAACCAGCGGTCTGTTCCCCTGCACTACGTTTATCTATCGATATATCGCGATAATAATCTCAGTTGGGCGATTTGACAGCAATTAGCTCGACACTCCTGAATAAATTACAAGCGTTTTGTTCTTGCTGAAGTCCAAAGCTTGGTAAAGCAGTGTAGAAGGTGTCAAATTTCCAGCCTATTATGAATTCATCTTCCATACACGTAACACAAAACTTGAAGGGGTGAGGTTTTCTTGTTCAAAATGCCATTAATTTCCAATGCGAAATGTCGAATCTCCAATGAGCAACGTTGCCGGGTTAAAAGATTGTGAAACGCTCTATGAAATCAAACCTTACACGTCACTACATATTTACGTCGTATTCTTTGTCCGAGTGTCCGGAATTCGATTCCAGATACTTCGAAAGCACATAGTTTGAGCAATCGATATACTTTCTCGACAGTTCGACACGGTTTATAATTTCCCTAGAGACCTCTGACTACGTAAGAAACACGTCCCAAGACATAAATTCATGACAGTTTCTTGGACTGTCCTGATATCCTATTCGATGGATTCAATGCATCAAGCGATCAAGCGACCATTACACTGCGAAATTCGAAAACGTGTACAGCACTGGCCAATGAGAAACTGACTTCACAAGATTATCGTGTGAAATAAAGTTACAGGATCCCAACTATTTGTTCTGGTCGACAGAAATGTGTATTTATACGCGAGATGTCACGAACACGGCTGTCTCCTGGAACATTGCGTCCCGTAGTCTCGTACACTGATGATGGAGGCAGCAAGCACCTACGAAACGTCGGTAAACTTCTACCAGACTGCAACCTGGAAGGCTGTTATCTTCAAACTTCCCGCCGTGAGAACCTAAAATCTCACCGTGAAGCTTTGTGTTATCTTTGCAGTGGGGACCCAATTATTAAACATTATTAAGGCGGTCTTTGGCTTTAGAGAGTTGAATAACACGCAGAAAAATAAGTGGTCCGCCAAGAGTCTCAGCAGTTAAGGTCTACCACTACACGGGATAAAAAATACGCGACACTTCTTTGTAATCAGCAGTCGATTTGCCACGTGGGCGATGGAGTTTTTAAAAATAATAGGCTCTTTGTGACTCTAATAAGGACAACCAAAGTCGATGCTGGTCCTCTGGGTGGAAACGCCGTGTGAAGATACAAACGTTTCGGAGGAAGATACTGCCTCTATCTTCAGGACCCAAGGGTAGTCTGAGGTAAGACGTACGTTATCGGTCGTCGGCATTACGGAGACACGGAACACAATGTACCTACTGACCTAACACAAAGTCGTCTAAGTCGCGCATGCTTTATAGCGTTAACAGGCAGAAACAAGAAAAACAGGGCATTGCAAAAGTCACATTACTGTTGACACGAGACGATCAGCCCAGCGTGACCTACATCCAGAGGCAAAGAGCGGAAGATACTGAGACAATTGCCAGACAAGACAAAGCTCGCCCTTAATTACGTCACACTTGAGAGGGGCGAAGGAAAACCACGACGAGGAGCCCCATTACAGCGTTCACCGATTATTATTACGATGGTCAAATCAAAGGCATGGACGGGCTAAGTAGCGAGCGTGAGGGACATGAGAAATGCATACAAAATTTTTGGGTTCGAATCCTGAAGGGAGGAAACCACTCGGAAGATTTGGGCGTGAATGTGGAGATAACATTAAAATGGCGCTTATGAAAAGGAATGCGTTCCAATTACGAGTTTAGTTACTGTAAGAAATTCACTACCACTGACCTAACGCAGGATATCCGACCCGCAAAAACTGAAATCCACACAGACGGCCCCGCGGCATTTCGTGTGTACGCGATTTGTAGGTTGTAACCGTGGAAACGGTTTCACTAGACGACGGTGAGGCCGGGCCCGGCATGAACAAACAAGTTCCCTTTCTTCAGAGTCGCACGATCTCAGATGATTGCGTCACGGAGGAACTTCAAAAGTAAGCGACGTCCACACATGAGAATATCCTTCGCGTGTTGTTTCTGTTTTCCACCACGTTCCCTTCTTAATTTGTTCGTCTGCATTCGCTATTTTTATATTTCCAGTCTTTCTATAGGAAATAATTCTCTCACTTTATCGAATCTTCGTGCCAACCTTTAAATTTATTTTTCGGAATTTGTGACGGGCGAGAGAAATCGAGGTGGGAATGAGAGAAACCATGAAAAACCCGTGCGACATTCGGATTTTAACCGGGATTGGAATTTTTCAAACAACGCATTTTGGAACTGCCTGTACCCGGACGCCGCATTGCCACTCTACATTGATGAAAGAGTTACGTCGCGTATTAAGCTGTTGGTCATATCAATATTACGCTGTTTGATTTCAGATGTTTCCAGTCCTATAGTCTTAACCAATTAGAAGCGTCCTTGTTCGTAGTGAATTTCGTTCATGGCAAAACGCGATTCACAGCAGCGCGCAACGTTATGTAGAAACGTGATTCGTTCTGGTGTGTTAGTACCGAATAAGTCTGCTATTATTCCGTTTCACATAGATCATCTACATTATAATTCAGCACTACACAGGCAATTGCAAATTGCACGCTATGATCCGTGCTAAAACATTACGTTATATTTTTATGTAACTCGGAGAAATCCCAGTTAACTCGATTCGGGTTTCGGATAAAATGAGGTTTACGTGCACTGCAGATAATACAGCAAAACAAAGTGGCCTTTCCGGACAGGAAGTAAACCACCCATAATCGCCGATCCACGCTTAGGCTTAATCATAACCCCAGTCGGCAAAAAAGCTTTCATGGAAGCCACAGGATGATACAAAAGTAACGAAACATAATTGCAATTGATTACTGAACACACAGAATCGCAGAGACAACACAAGATCCCACTGTGGTCACGTCATATTGTAACACTTCCTGATACTGAGTTATTTCTCGACAAACATAATACGTCACGAATGACTTGTGATTTTTTCCGATCGCCCTGTGTTCGTAATCCGCTTACTGTATTAGGTGAGGAAATAGACAGACTGCGTAACAAATCTGGCAAGTTCGAAAGCACGTAGACTGAAAGGCGGGATTATTTGATGTAAATTAATTTTTCGCGGACGACGTGCCTGGCGCCCGGGTGGATAGGCGAGGGCGTCATAACACAGGATTCCCCCGGCGTGTTTGCCCGGTTGCATCAGGATTTCCCACTAGGAACTTCCCAGTGGACAAATGTAACAAAATTAAACAAAGACGGTAAACAAATCAGCCCAAATATTTCCCACTAAGTCTTTTCCAGATGTTGAATTCGACCAACGCGGATTTAATACCCCTAAATGCACGCAACAAACATCACAAGAGAATTTCTCCTTGACTCCGGTAAGGAATGCATTTTCCGAGCAATTTTCTTTGTTCGCAGTTAAGCAGTGACGTCACTTGTCTCGCTAATTAAAGAAAAGCCAAGGACAGTCTGTTTGTAACGCGTTCAACATACAACGGCAAGGGGAGGGGCCCGATTTTACTACCGGTAAAATACAACGGTATTTTAACGAGGATAAAGAGTCTGAAGTGGAGAGGGTAAAATCACGAACACCGGAACAAAGAGAGAAGGTTCAAAGCTCGTATAAATATTACGTAAGAATTCAGTCCGTACCGCGAAGAAAACACAACACTTCGCCGTTACCAAGATCAACTGGTTAACGCTGATTAAGGAAATAATCACAAGAGGAAATACGGTCCGCGGGTTGCAAGACACACTGCAGGAATTTTCAACGTTTTTACAATAACATTTAAGGGATAGCTATCTTTTCCTTTCCACGGAATATGGATTGTGTCCCATCCCATTTCAGAATTAAAACAGAAACTATCGACATTTCTAGACGTCTACCTGAGGTCAGCCTCCACCTACGCAGGGCACACATCAAAGGCACGAACATAAATCAAAGCAGATAAATCTGAATCAAAATAACTTCACGAAGGGTCTCATTTTAATTATTCAAAGCCCATTGGTAAAAATATATATAAGTGTGTGTGTCTGTTTTCTTTGCGGTACGGAATGGATTCTTAAATATTCAGACGAGCTTTGGCTCCAAAAAAAGTTGTCCGTCAGCTGCGAGAGAAATGATCAACGACCGATAACATCAGTGGATGATGAAGATGAGATTAAACACTTAACTACTCTTCAGCAAGCGTTCTTATGCACCTGTAGTGAACAGGCTTTTTAGAGGCAGGTCACTCGAAACATAAACAGACAACGGAAGTCTATCAAAAGAAATGACCTTGTGGATTTGCAGTCCCGCAACCCAGGTGCAACACTTCCTCACTCCATTCAGGAAGATGACAAATGTCAAGGCTGCATCTGTCTCGACCTTGTGCGACTTACATCTGTGAAAAATCTCCCAGACGATGATAACCACTTACTTACGAACTTGCTTTATTAGAAAATTGAATTCCCCTCATCTGGAAGCGCCTCAGACCTTCTTTGTAGACCACAGAGAAGTCATTAACAGACAACGCAATATCGAGCTGGAGCAGATAGTAATCGGAAGGTTCGCGTTTCGAACCTCGACTGCGAGACTTCTATTCTTGTTGAGATTCGTCACAATTTCTCTCAGACCAAAAATTAAAATGCCCTTGAAAACCCGCCCTATTACGTCTCAACTCCAGAATCAGCGTTAAATTTCTCACTAGGATTTGTAAGAGGTCTTTAAGCCAAGAGCCCATCAGAGTGATGTCAAATCAACAAATGAAATAAAAATAACTTAAAATCTCAAAGTTCCTTTATAACTTCGCGACCCGGGACAGGTCAATCATTGCGGGCTGGACGATCGTGGTTCGATTCCCGATTGGGGACGATTTTTTTTTTCTTAGCCAAAAAGCACATAACTGAAGAAAGATGGTACGCGATTTATGTGCTGACAGCCACTGACCGACCTCAGAACAAGTTGGCGGTCGTCAGAACCTCGAACGAGCTGTTTTACGTCTAAAGACGTCTCAATCAACATTAACATTCCTTACATTTCGGAAGAACATATCGTCATCTCGTAATTCTACATTGAGGATGGATGTGATGCTGTTCTGTACAGCGTTATAACACGGAAGACCAAAAAGCCGACATTCGGACAGGCCCATAGTCCCGAGTTGATTCCTCCATTCCGTGAACTGTAGGAGCAGACATCTGATTCACAGACTCCGCCTCTACGCCGATCTACTCAGTACTTATTCCATACTTAGCCAGCACAAAAACACATTTCCTTAACGAGTAAGTTCGTTTCGAAACAGTTACAAGCAGCGTGTGCGAGCAGTACCTGAAACTATTCGGATTTTCACGAGAAATGCCAATTACGTATCTACGACACTTAGCAGAGTCAGATCCCAGCTGACTACGAAAGCAGAGAAACGAGGTCGAGACAACCAGAGTCGGTCTAGAACGCTTACACGGCATTCCACACCAAGAAAGAAATATGCCTCGTCTGAAAACAAAAAAGGGCTGGATGTGAGCTCCGAATTTATTTCGGCATAAATATGCCATCACTGACACTTTAAACCCCAGAGTGCATCTTTCTGCCAACATCCCCTGTGACACTGGCTTCAAGGTCACCCTCGTTGCTAGGCCGCTGCGCAAAATCTGTGCACGTGTATTCACATAATACAACGTATCATCGACTGGTAATAGCATTACGGGCCACGTAAAGTCTTTCCCCCTGACAAACAACACGACAGCTAAAATTGCTGTCGACTATCAGCTGCACGAATTCAGTGTTGCCAATGGCCTCGTCCTTCAGTTCGTGAAGGTGTTCCATGTAGTAGTTATGGCTGCAACTTAAATCGAACGCCCTGTATATTCACCGCCCGCTTTAGGATTCCGTAACTCTGAATTTCGTCCGCGATATTTGTGATGGAAAAATATTTGCTTTGAAGGAACAATTGGATTTGATACAATGTTTCCCCGGGCCGAGATTTCAACCTGGAACCTCCCCAAAAGAAAGGAATTGGGAGGGCTGACCAATGCACCGCGTTCTTCAGTAACAAACTGAAATAACTGATACGCTTGGGCAAACAGAGTTCTCTTAATTTTTTTAACTTGGTAATGGACACGAATACGTGGGGGAGCCTCGAGCCGGGTAAAAAGTTAATCTTGCGTCACTCCACCAACTACCGTTCTCCTGCCACTTCTTAGCGATGGATGAAATAACATTCGCTCATATTTCCATTTGCATTAACAGTACAAGGCGCATGATCAAATCTTTGTAACGCTGTAAAATAACTAGCCCCTGATGGTAACTCCCCCGAAAAGCATTCCATATCGTGATTCCCATAACCTTAATAAACTGTTTAACGGTTACTGGTAACACCAAGTCGTCCCAGCATTACGTATCATGACGCTGCAGGCACATAAGAAACTCGAACATACAAGAAGATGCACTGCACTGCAATGGGGTCAGGTTGCGCGGTGAGAAACACTGACCTCGATCACTGAACACATCTCTCACTCCAATCTTTTAAAAAATGACGCATAAGTCTTCAGAATTCCGTACGTCGGAATATCTCCTATTTGATAAAATCTTTAATACTGCAACTTGATTTTACGACCAGAACTCTGATAAAATGGAGACAAGGCACAAACATTGACAGGGGACAAATGCACGGCACTGACCTAAGAATGGGGTCCTCGGCCTTTGACAATCCTGTTTCTTGCCTGAGTAAAGTTACGCTTCACGTGGGCGCTTGGGAGGGGGGGTGAGAGGTCAGCTTAACGTCCCGGCCGAACTTTAACCCCGGTACCCATTAGGCAGGAAGCCAGGTGGGCCCCAGAGCCGGTCTCGACGCAGAGGCTAGAGAAAAAAGTCATCTTCCCCTCTCGCGGATCGAACCCCGGTCATCCAGCCCGTCTGACTGAACCATCCGGCTGTTCGCATGCGTTCTTCATTAAGCTGGACAGTCTGATGGACACAGAAAACGATCGTTGCGAAATGTCGAGTCTAACCTCGTAGCTACATTAACGTGAGAAACGATTAGCAAACTCCGAGTGTACTTTACTAAGAGAACAAACTGAACCAAGAAATTAGTCGTCTAAACATTTGCATACCAAAGATGCTCGTAATTTAAGTTCACGTTTCTGGATTGCAATGAGCACCGATAACACTGTGCTGGGAAAATAAATAATATATACGCTGTAATCACTTTATTATACAGGGTGTTCTAAAGTATTTCTTCGAGAGTATGTACAGCGTGTGTTCGATGGGAAGCTTATTTTGAAGAAGTATGCCTCAGGCCACGTGATTTATTTTTTAAAGTTTTCCTCACGCACTGGACGATTTACCAGTCAACATTGAACGTAGAGCAACAAGTAAAGTGAGTTCGGTAAGACGATTTCTCGTTGTGCTGAACTTAAGAGCAGATTATGACTCAAGTATTCGTATGCATGCGTTCTCCGATGAGCCGAGTTTATTTTTGAACACCCTGTATAGTGATAATTAAGTATTTTGTTATTCTCTGCAACTGGCCGTTTGGCTGTTGGTGCAGTGAACTGAAATAAAGAATTCAACTGAACTGAAGCGTTGATACATTGAACTGGCAGGGTCCCCATACTCTCATGACGCAACTCGGCAAAGTTGACAGACCTGTTTTTCCATTTCCAGCGGCAAAGAGCATTGAAACCAAAAGTGATAACTCGTAATGTTACTTCTGAAGGTTCAATGGCGTAGAAAGAAGTGTTTAAAAATAAAACCACGCAGCTTAAAATAAGCGTTACGCCAAGAACTAATGTGCGCTGTAGGAATTAGTCACGTGGTTTTTAAAGAAGAACAGCTGACGAAAACGTATGTGGGGAAAGTTGTGTTCATCTTCTCGACTGTGGGTCGGGCTCTGTATAAATCTCAGCAGCGCACAAGGGCACGACTGTGTCGAGAGTAACATTTAAACTGGTTACGTACATCGCCGTAAATATTTACTCACACAACACGAACGTTTCAGTTGCTTATTAACAGAGTGATAGGCTCAGACGACATCCGAGGCGGTGGGTGGGGGAGGAATAGGATTTTTCGCTCACAACTACCTACAAGTTTCCACGCGTTCGATTTGTACAGCAAACATAGCATTTAGCGGTGTCTAAATACGTTGGTTGGCCATCTGAAGGTCTGTGGCAAAACATTTAACTGATTATTCCTCGTTAGCTGACAGTCATTGTGGACTATGCTCTAGCAAGTTTCGGCACGACCAAACAAAATACTGCAGACTGAGACATTGCATTCTGTACAGCCCTTATTTCATCAGCCAGCGTGCTCCTTTCATAAACGAGACAACAATTTCAAAACCACATTTTCTAGTCGGTCGCCCCGAGGTCAGTTTCTCGTGGTTGAACAGACAAAGCAATTTTGAAGATTGCCCTCAACTTCGCAATGCTGAGAGACAAAAGGTCAGTCTGGAGGATGGAGTGACCTTACTTGACACACATTTCACTTCTGCTTTGCAAAGGCACTACCTTATCAAGGTACTGACAAAACACTTCTGGATTCAAAGTGGTTTAGCTTCACTGATCTCCGCGCTGTCATATAAAGTCCTATTGATAAAGAACAAACTTAAAATACACCGAGGTTTTCCTCTCAGACACTCTTCACATTTCGCCTGTCATTTGTCTACACAATTGGCAAGTGTCTTCTACCCACGGTCTCCTGCGTAATTACAAGTACTTACGTGTCCTAAAAATCCATCGTTAAACCCAAATCTCATCCTCGCAACATACAGACCTCTTTGTAAGACCCACTTTAATATTACTGTCGTCCCATGTCCATGCAAATATTGCAAATAATCTCTTCTCCAGAAATTTTGTTTCCAGAATGCGTGCTACATGCCTCGACCATCTCACATGTTGCAGGTAACAGCATGGATACGGGAGTATTCACTTTCATGGACGGCTACGTCAATTTCATGGAGACACGCAGTGGTGAGTCTTGTGGAGGTTGAGCTCCACGCATTCTAAACGGAGGTGACTGGTCCAGCTTCATTCCACTCCCGTTTATGTGATCCCTGCGGTTCAGTGGTTAGGTTAGCACAGGAATTGGCAATCAAAGGATCGCAGGTTCGATATTGAAGCTACCGGCCCATTAACATTAGCGAAAACTTTCACTTAAAGGTAGTATAATGAGATCCCGAAACGAAGATCATTTGTGGTGGGGGGGGGACATTGCGCTGTGTAGTAGTCTGGTACAAAAGGACCGACGTTTCACAGGTGCTTGAAGCCTCCATCATCAATGGCACACTTTGACATGTGCCAAAAATATTTTCAAGTTCGTCATGTTTTTGTATTGTGCAAAAAAAAAATCTGATTAAAATTGCATATTTTTAGATCAAAAATAATTTCTGACAGTCTTTCCTCAAATTTCGCGTGTTCGCCATATTGTTATTGACTGCAGTGGTTTAAAAGTACGAAGCTGAGGCAGCCTTTCAAGGCACAGGTTGAAATCACGTTTCGTGAAAATCAGCCAAGCTGTCAAAAACTTTAAGTACACGGTGAGGGCAACTTTATTTCCTTAATAAAGCAAAAACGGGGTTCAAATTGAATCTGTTACCCTTAGTTCCTATTTTCAATTACATTTCACGTTTCTTAATTTTCTGTCTTCTTCGAGATTAAGGGCGGCCTACGAATCTGAAAGCTGAAAAATTATAATCACATTCTCCCGTCGCGAGACGAACATTTCACGAAAAATCTTTCAGGTCTACGTAACGGTAAGCGAAATTCCGTCATGGAATTCAGAGACAATTTTGTTTCTTTAACTACAACAAATGATTTGTCTATAACAACGGTCAATTAACCTACAAATTCCAGACTTCCGCACTTAACTCCAATGCCCCAGCTTTTAGGATGCACAGAAGCGCAATTTCTCAAGTTCTTAAGCGACTACGCCTCCGACTATGAAAAGAATTGGACGGGACAGCAGCTGAGGACTTTGAACTGGCACCTCGTCTCACTTTCCAATGTCCTTGAACGTGAGCGGCCATGTTGCAGATCCCCGCACGAAGGACTGGGCGCTCATGAGCAGCCCAATGCCCCTTCTTACCATCCTCACGACGTACCTCTACTTCTCGGCCTCCGCGGGCCCGCGCTGGATGAAGGACCGCAAGCCATTCGACCTCAAGTACGTCCTCATCGCCTACAACGCCCTGCAAGTGGTCTTCAGCGTCTGGCTGGTCCATGAGGTGAGCCACTGCCCCCACGCCTCTTCCCCCCTAACCTCAAGGCGCACGCACACAGATTTCTCGAGGAACTAACAGTAGCTCTCAAAACGTCGAGAAATTGGCCATCGAAGGTACCCGTCAATGGACCCCGTCCTAAGCCAGATAATTCCAATTCACACCCACATTTCTCTTCAAAGGTCCATTTCAATATTATCCTTCCATCTTCCGAGCGGTCTCTTCCTTTCGTGGTTGCCAACCACACTTTCTGTACAAATAAATTTCCCATCCCACATTTGCGCCACGTGCCCCGTCCAATATTATTCTATGAAATGTGCAAGTCATGAAGCTGATCATTACGCGATTTTCCACGGTCACTTCCTCCCCTCTGCGCCCTCAGTCTCAGACCTTCCCTCTTATAACGTTTCCGTAAATCCTGATTTACGATCATCGGTAATCCTCCCATCTCCGATAATGACTCTCTGCAAGCAGGCAGAAATCTGGGCTGTCCAATCAGAAAGCTTTACGCGTTTAAAACGAGAGTTTGTGTTTCTTGCTGCAGGGGTTGCAGAGTGGATGGCTGAGCAACTACAGCTACAGGTGTCAACCCGTTGACTACTCGACCAACCCTCTGGCTATCCGGGTAAGGATCGCATAGGATAACTCGAGCGACGTCCCACGTTCTTCTTTCATTCCTCGAGCGTTCTTTGGACGACGTGCACAGGCAACAAGCCTGACCTGACCAGAATTCGATGCCATGACCCCAAGTTCAATAGGCTAGAGTGCCTTATGAGGCATCCCTGTTCAATTACAGAAACATTAAGACCAGGTAATTGTAGAGTCGGAAACAAAAGTTGGGTGATGTCATCATTAACCAAAAATTCTGAAGAAAAAAATAATTACATGTGTTGGGTCAAATCCGCAGTCCGTCCTAAATCGGCGAACTCCTTCTGCTTCTCCTTCTCTCCCGCGATTTTTCAGCGGACCTCCCACTGTTTCTGCATGGAATCACAGCGCTCATTTCTGCATCATGCGCAAAGTAAAGTTTCTTTCCCGTTTCCTTCTAATGACACTTAAGTATAGCCTACAAAATTGCTCTCTGATGATAACAATTTCAACTACCTCTGCGCGGTTCATCATCCAGAATTACGCCTCTCAAGCCAGTGCACTCTGAAAGATTGCAAAATGCATGGGTTTTAAGTCTATCCGCATTCCTCAACCCATAACCTACGCATTATTACTTTTTCACCTTAATCATCTTCCAGAAATCCTCATTACGCCAACCGGTTTCGTGTACTCGCCTTGCAGAACATAAACAGTCAGACGCTGTAGAAATAATTTATAAACCATGCTCACCATCTGAACTTTCCACCTGTCAGTGCTCACACAGCTCGAGAGAGAAGGTACAGGGCAGATTGCCTAACAGACTAATAGGCCAGGGGTTAAACATTGACTGTGGCCACCGACACACGAATTTGGCAGCGTTCCACTTTCACAAACAATTCAGCGTT